TCATGTGACACATGTACTATGGGCAGACTTTCATTGGTACACTTAAGATGCAAAAGCACTTGGGAATACCACCCACTCTAAGTATATGTTCTTCCATCTTGGCGAGTTATATATACTGCATACAGAAATTTTAAATAATTTGTGACAATGTTGTAGAATCATGTGTACAGAATATTGTAGAATTTTTTTTTAATAAATTTTAAAAATATGTTTTAAGATAATCAGCTTCCTTTCACTGATACTTCTTTGAAAACTAAATTAATGTAATTTTAAAATATATAATAGCATACAATCTCATTTAAGTGAATAGTTATTTCAGAACAAAGTGAGGGAATAAATGTAAATTATTGTACGTCAATTTTAGCCATTAAGGATTTATTATTTTCCCCAAACTAAAAAGTCTGCACACAAAGAATTACAAAAAATAAATCTAGTGAAATGTTATCCAGAATTAAGACATTTTATACATTACTTGCTTTAAAGTTTTTTTTCCCCTTCTATTGACACAGGGGGATGAAATCTGGTTTTTAGCTGAACCGTCTGTATAAGCAGTCAGCTAGTTATTTTCACAATCAGATGAGATCTTGAATAGAGGGTTGCAAGTTGCAGATCAGCTGAAAGATAAAGATGACTTGTGACATGTGCTTAAAGAAAAGTGCAACAGAACACTCCCACAGCGAATTGTTACACAAACAATGCAGAGGTGGATTCTGAAGACACGGGTCCCAGGAAGAAAGTAAAAGCACCTTATTATAGCGACAGCAACCATCATCAGCAAGTCGCCAAGATGAGGGCTTGTCAGACCAATCAATCATCTTCCACAAGCAAAGGGATTTGTTCATCACCAGCCAACTGTTTCAATTACATTATATGGAGCCTTTCAAAGCAGGAAATCCTGCCTGAAGCAAATAACAAACATAAACATAACAGGCCTGATATGGGAACAAAACCATTTTTCTTTTTGTCATGATAAAACCATTATCGTCAATGATAAACGGTCCGAAATATACTAAGAACAGCAAGGTTTTGAGTTTTATTTTGTCAAATTCCAAAGCACTAAGCTACAATTCCCATCTTGATATACTCTCAACACATCAGAGAGTCTCCTTAAGGACAGCAGGCAATCCTATAGCCATACAATGGTAGAATAATGTGTTAATTATTACATTGTTATATAGACTGTTCTCATTTTAGACAAATTCTGGGCAAATCCCTTTTATTATGAAGCAAGTCTGAAAAGTGTTTTTGATATTAGGGGTTAAATTCATTCTGGTATGCCAGAGCTGCTTAATAATAATAATAATATTAATAATAATAATAATTATTATTATTATTACAATTCATACCTCCGTCCAATGCAGGATCTCAGGGAATAACTATCAGGTACACATGTCATTCACGCCTACGGACAATTTGGCAACTCCAATTCAGCTCAGCATACTTTTGGACTGTGGGAGGAATCCCCCCCCCCCCCCCCGACAGCTTGGGAAGAACATGCAAACTCCACATGCGGAGCCATGGCGGAGATTAGCTTACTTCATTAAAAAGCTATTTTTTGGAGGCGACTGATCAGTTTCTCAGGTGTGGAAAATGACTTTGTGTTCACTTTGCTAGGTGTGGTTTTGTAAATGAATGTGTCTGCAGTGCCTGCTTCCGTTCTCCTCTGCGACTTGCATCGATAATAAGCCATGAGAGGCGCGCCGTTGTTAGAGCTGCGAACATTTCCCCCGTGAGCGACGAGGCGCAGCTAGGCAGGCTGACATGGTCTTAACTGACATGCTTGCATCTGGCAGGGGGTGCAGTAAAGGGAGGAGGTTTAGGAAGATTCAAAGGGCCCCTGAGTAACAGGGGCCTTAAGAAATTAGGAACATAACTGGATTGAGCTGGTTTGGGGGCCAAACGCGATATGCTTTCATGGGGCCTGAAAATCTGCAGCTGAGCCCCCGGCTTCGGGGCTGGCCTTACAGTGTAGCTAACTCTTCTAGTAATTTCTATTTCTGAGAGGCATCATTTTATTTCTTTGCTTTTCATTCAATGTGTGTTCTGGTTAGCTTTTTCATTCCATTTTTTTTTTTTTTTGGGAATTACTTAATTTCGTTCTACTCCATGATCTAAAGCTGTTTACTTCTTGTTCAAAAGTGGCAATACACTCAAAGGATTGATAGCCCATGGATATACAGTAAAGTTGATTCTGCAGCCACATATATGAAGTTATTTCTGTGAGCCACAATTGCATGCACTTAATCATTGCTACCCTCCATAGAGCACAGTTTGCTGAGTTGAGCTATGGCAGCCTACCTAAGCTTCTTGCTGTGCATAGATTGCAGTTTTTCCACAATTTTGAGTAGCTCTGTGGTCACATTTATGGCTGTTTTCCCTGGGTGTTCTACCTTCCTTGCTTGAGTGAATCAATTACTACCATTTGAGAAATGGCGTCCCCTTATTTTCACTGTTCCCACACTAGCTGGGAAGTTTTGTACCCATAAGTTATTCGGCTATATAATGCAGAGGCCTGGTCTTCAATTTCTCCTGCACCAACTTCCTATTCAATATTTTTGACAGAGCTGAATTTGTATGTATTCCATGACTATTTATGTGTTCTGTATTTCCGTGGAACACTTCATGGATTTATTTTTACCTGTATTAAGCTCATTCACATTATCTAGATGCATGATGTGTGGAGCAGAACTTACATGACCACAACTTTTGTGTGTATCACGTCACATCACATCGTGTCACGTCACATCTCTCATGTGTTTCTGGTCGAAGGCTGCTGGTTTTCTGACACCGAACACCCAGGTCACGTCCCTCTGGCAGCCCTCTTATGGTGCTTTTCCACTGCCACCAAGAACTGAGCCATGCCAGAGCTGCACTGCAAACTGGCAGTTTTCCACTGTAAAGTATGCGAGCCCCAGCCAGACCTAAGCTGTAACCGTGGTGACCAAGGCCAGCTGGTGGAGCCGCCACATTCGTAATGCACGCATATACTGTTTCTGCTAGCATCTGATACTAATATAACACAGTGATTCTCACAGAGGTGTTAGAAAATTAGGAAATTAGCAGACAGTAAATCATGATGTACACCATGTGAACCCATGTGAATAAGCGTCTCTTTAGTTCCCGTGCCACTATCACTCTCACAACCTGGCAACCCCTTTACTGAGCCGACCCTTCTGCAGTGGAAAAACGAAGCGAGCTCGGACCGCACTGTAACTAGTCTCTCTCTTCACGGTACGGCTCGGGTACAGCTCAGTTCCTACATGCCCATGGAAAAGTGCCATTAGACCTCTGTCAGCCTCTTCCAGGTCAAGACGGAGGTTGACAGGCCAAATATCCTTTGGAATTTGTCCATGTGTCTTGAGACATGAGACTGAACTGGAATGCTTTACTGCATTTCCGTCAGGCACAGTAGATTGGTGTAGGACTGTCAGCTGGACTTTATCTTTGACCTGGTGGTTTCTTTCAGACTGAAAAATACCAAAGAGGGTTCTGCTTGGGAATGAATCTCCCAGAAACTTCACGGGGCATAGGCTCTTTGGCTGAGGATTTACAGAACTCCTGTCCCATCAGTCAAGTTCCATGTTTTTCTTTGGCACAAGATTTCTAAATTTGACACTGGCAATATTTGTCTTTACAGCCTTATTTTCTGTGTAATTTCATATAGATATACATGCTTCATATAGATCTACAAGCATTACTATACTGGGCAGTGCAAGTAGCCTAATTGTACATAGCGTTCTGATTAGCTGTCAGTTAAGGGTTGTATAACTCCAGCCTTTGTGTAACGCAAATCTGAACATTTCAACTGAGTTGTCAGTTAGTTATATTTAAGAAGTTTAATTGCATTCATGCAATTCATGCAACACTTCATTTTGATGAGATGCTATATTTTGGTAAATGTCAGGGAATTGAATGTTTTAAAGTTTTTCTATTTTCCACTTTAATAATAACATCAGTTCATAAATAATGAGCTTGAATATTAAAAGGGAATAATTTATTACAATGCAATCAAGTCAAATTAATTTTTCGCTTATTTCCAATGAGAACCAGCACAGAACTCAGTGGCGGTTCTAGAATGTTTCAAGTGGCGACGGAAGTGGGGGCAGTTGTTCTGCTACAGGAGCCAGATGCATTTAACCTTAGGGACCGACTACAAAACAAATTACTTGTCAACTGTGAGGGGCACCTCTGCTGAATTTCCAGATTTCTGGGACATTGCACATTATGCTTGACTGTCATGCAAAAAACAATTTTGAAAACCAATGAATATTTTGCTATGTTTATTTTAGTTACATTTTCAGTTACATTTAAAAATATTAAACTTTTTATTCTGTAGGACCATAATTATCCACCATCATATTATTTATATACAGTGCTTTTGCCCTCAACTCAATAAGCCATTTAAGATGTTTATTAATTCATTTTTTATAGCATTTTCTGTTTCTTATATGAATTGTATTCCACGATTACAACTTTAGCCATCTAACTAGCTTTGGAGAGAAAACCCTCTAAATAACAAGAAACTCATTAAAGTGAGCTATTCAAGCAAAGTAATAAAGAGGGTAGCATTAAAAATTCACCCAGCCGTTATTCTTTTTTTGGCCATCACACTTTGGTGTTGCTTGCTGTTTTTCTGTCGTAACTTTGCTTTTTTTACCAACTGAAGTGACTCATATACCCACCTAAAGAGTCTGATTAGATAATGGGTATATTTTTGTGTTCCATCTGTTTCCCAGGGCATAAAAAGTTCAGCAGACACGGATTTATTTTGGGTCAGTACCCTTTGCCCCCCTCCCAGACTGTCTGACCCTTGGGAAAAATCGCACAATCACACCAGTTAAAAAAAGTTGCATTACAATATATAAGCAGAACAGTAAAATGTGTGAGTGGAGATGAAATATTGAATCGAATATATTGAAAATAATGTGTGCCATAGATGACATAGACAAAAAATATCCCCCAGAGGACAACGCAACCAGCAAACACGCATGTTGAGGTACCTGTGGCAGGGTCCACTGTACGCTCAATCAGATGGTCGTCTTGATGCACCCACTCCCCGTTGCACTTGAAGTATATCTGTGTGGCTGGAGTAGAGCGGCAGGTGAGAGTGACAGGCTTGTTCTTCACTATGTATACATCATCCGGCTCGACCAGGAAGTGAGGCAAGAGGTCCGAGAATGCTGCGGGAAGGGGGTTTGTCACCGTGGCGACATGCTGGGAACCTGCCAAGGAAGGAGAAGCAGATGGTGCTCAGAAATGGATGCTGACAGGACACGTCAGTGAAAAAGACAAGTTATGGAAGAGGATCTTCATAGTATGTTAGGAAGTATGATATTATGAGAATTTTGCAGTTTGTTTTTTTAATGGCTATGTGACCATCTCTCTATTGTAAAAGACGGACAAGTCATAGATGGTGCATGTGTGGTCATAATATTTTTTTTAGAATGTAATATTGTGCGTTGAACCATGCGTCGTGAAGGGAATATCTGCACTACGCTAACAGGCTGCTGACAGAAATGAACGATAACAAGCGATAAATGTGTGACTGTGCCACCGGCACCCAAGATCTGTCAGGTACGCGATAGAGAGGTAGCCTCATAAATCAAGATTTTAGCTTTTATGTCCACTACAGTTTTAACTCAGATGCACAAATACAGACATACAGAGAACACCTAGTATAAAGAATGCTGTGTCGTTGTTTTTGTAATGCTTGGTAGTATTATAAGTGTGAAATCCTCCAGTCTCCAAGCTAATAAGCTGTTTTCATAGAAAGTTCAGTCCCCCCCCCCCCCCAGAAAAAAAAGCCTTGGACCTTATCAGGCTCAGTCTGTAGTCCATGCAAACCCAGCCTCCTCAATACTGTTAATCACACTATTTAAAGATCGGAGCTGTGTCGCTAGAGACCATAAATTCTTAGCCTTGAATGGCTGCAGTACTTCACAAAATGTTATACGAGTCTCGTTTCCAGGACTTTAACTCGGCTCTCATTAAATGAGAAGACAGAAAGAGGCCATGTGGCAGGACTGCTTGTCATCAAGTTAGAGGCTTTGAGAAATGGCACCACTGAATCTAATGGCATGGATTCCTCTTGTTTTCATTTATTATTAGCTTAATCATCAAGGGGAAACTTGTCCCCTAGTTTGTGGCCGACCTTGTCTACATAAAGCACAAATCAAAAATATTGCATGAAAAAGAGAAAATAATCAACTTGACAATCTGATAAATGTTTCTTAATCTACATGCAGGTTCAAAGACAGAATAGGAAGAACAGATCTCAGGCCTTCGTCATTATTCTTGTTACAAGAAAATTACAAAAAAATTAAAATATTTAATAGGTGAGACAAAAATAAAGAATCCAAGTATTTGAAGATAAAGTCTTGCAATTAGTGTTTGCTTTGGGGATTTACTTTGCTAATGAAGATGAAACCAAGAATATGACAGACCAGACTAAAGTTGTGTTGGGGTTTTCATATCTGCCCACATGCTTTCAATGAAGACAATGAAACCTAATTAGACAAAGATCAAAGGGAATTATACAATTCCACTAAAATTAAATTACTAATGAATACTAATGAATAGAAATACTACCAACATGTAACGTTTCTGCATTGTGTTCTTAAGGAGCAAATGACTTTGCGGTAAAGATAGCTTCAGAAAACATGATTGTGATGATATTTTCCTGTAGAACCCTACACACAAAAGTAAATTGCGTTCATTTCTGTTCAGGCAGGGAAAGCTTTTCTGTACATTTCAAAGTTGGAGAGAGGCCAGTCTTAAGCTCCACTGGACGTCTTCTCTGCGGATCATACTTTAGCGGGCAATTTGCTCAACAATTTCCACTTATCATCTTCCCTGAGTGCCATGTCAGGAGCAGCAGTTAGGGGTGATTCAGATGGCTGTTGTCAAGGCAGCACTGATCCCACCCACCCACCACGTCCCCAGGGATGCAGAATGGCATCCCGTGCAGCTCACAGAAAACACGGAGGTCCGGACTGTATGGATTAGAGGCTGAGGGACATCACCTGATAATGACCACAGGGTGAATGACAGGAAAGCGCAGAGACCCACAGTGGAGAGTGACCTGAGCGTAGCACACAGTGACAGTCCGCAGGGCCTCACTCCTGGGCAGCAAACTCAGCTTCGCTTTTCTCCCAGTTGTGGTGATGGCTACCTACAGCGTGGGGGCCAGCCCTACCATTACTGCTCCCCCCACATTGCTATTTGCAATACTTCGAGGACCCAGATTGAGTGTATTTCTGTTTACCTTTTGCTCTGTTTATCCTGCCCATTTTTGCGGCTATCCGGCTCAAAAAATAAGCTCCAGCAAGGTTCGAACCCTCACAGCCACGGTCACAGGACGTCTATGCTTTTCATGGGCTTTAATTGTCAGTTATTCTCCAGTAAAGATGCCATATGGCCGCTGCTGTGTATGTTTTGGAGGTTCTACAGTCTGGATATGTCAGGCTTTCTCTGACCCAAAAGGGTATTGCAATCAGTCCTCTGGTCAGCGCGGGTCACTGTGTGCTCTCATTTGTTCTACATAATTTTGTTCCAGGCGTATGAGGTCAAGCACCTTTTAACGGAACTCCTTGCAGCAACAGCAGCAGCAGACAATGTAGAAATTCAGAGTTTAGTTTATATGTTTTTCATGCCGGCATCACAACACAACACTGCTGGAAAGAGGAAATGAGAAAAGCAGATCAAGGAAAGGATTTAAACTGAACTCAAACCTATGCTGCTCTCAGATATATGTAATGTATCATAATACATACATTAGTAAAATTATTTGGTAAACACAATGGAGACAGTTCACCCTATTCAAAATGGTTTATCAGACTGCAGGTAACTGTTACTTATTTCTCTGTTAAGGTTTTTAGTTTTCTGCAGAATGCTTTGCACTGTTCAGGACAGCCAGCAGTAATTGAAGCACGGACACTTCCCTTTCACCTTTACTCTCAAAAAATGGTTTTACTCACAGTCACAAGAGACCTTAGTTTGCGTACCTTCAGAAAAAAAAAATACCCTGAAGTGCAGCTTTCCTTTGAACACCCACTGAGATGCATTAAAGGTGGTCTGACTAACTCATTTGCACAGTGGCAACAGATTTAAAAATCTGTAATCTCTTTCAAATGTTACCAAAAACAGCACCAACAACAGATGCAATACCAATAAAAATGAGGAAAAATGATTGAGAGTAAAATGAGGAAAATCAACAATACCGCTGAATGAAGAAGGGCCTGTTTGTGAGAAACGACAAAACAAAAATCTCCATTAGTCAGACATGAAAGGGCCAAAGCTGAAAATATAATCCCCTTTCGGTGGCAAAAATATTAATTTACTGCCGAGGAATCCAATACTGCTGACAGACTTTACATTTATGGGGCCCTCCATCACTCCCAGTACCGTGACGCCATGGGACGCCTTGGGAAGCGAGGCCATATCCCCTCATAATGAATTGGTGACGCCGGATCTGACCTTTTCTCTTCCCCACTGCTCATTCTGGGAGCACAGCCTGGGTCAGGGACGATATTAACCGCCTCTAAAACACTGTCGTCACAAAGACATTACCCGGCCGGCACAATGCATGTCACATTCGTGTCACCCTCCCAGCATGCGGGGTCAGTAATTCATCAGAGTGAAATACAGCAGACCTCCCTAGTGGGCATTAAACCCCTGCTAATGTATCATGTACACGTTTAACTCTTAATGAAAATGAAATATTCTGATCCTAGTAAAGGAAATCTATCACGTATAACTGACCTGTCACATAATTACACCAATTACCACAGATTTGACGCTAAAGTAAAATTTGGGAATACGACACATCAAACAGAGAAGACACGCTTGTTCAACCGAAACGACATGTCCAGGCTTAACGTGTTGTTTGCTTTGTGGCGAGCAAAAGCAAACAAAAGCTGAAGTGTGAATGTTACGGTTGAATGGCTATTAAAATGATTATTTAAACAGTGTCATTATGATTTTCAGATCATCCTGCATCAGAATTGCACGGTGAACTTTGGGCTTGTTTTAAACATGCAGTGAATTAGCTCTCAAAAAATAGCAGGTGAAAACAACGGCACGCCCCCACAAGTTCACTTTTCACAGCATGGGGGACTAACACTGCAGAGATTTAAAAACTGGAAAAACAGTAACGAAAACAAAAATATCATCTATATTTTTCAGATAGCTTGCTCTCCCTTTCATTGTTTGGGGCACATTTTGTCATTATTTACAATTTTTTAATCTGGATACATACTTAGATCCATTTCAGCCTTTCGCCATTAACCAGAAGGGTAGAGCAATGTTTCCCAACCCGGTTCTCGGGGCTGCAAGATGGGCCTCGTCTTTGCTGTGTCCAACTAGCAGCTGGGAGGGAGCAAAAACATGGACTGTCTGGGGTCCGTGAGGACCGGGTTGGGATGCACTGGTGAAGTGAACCTCATCAGCCTGCTGAACACTTGGTGACATGTCAATATGTCATAACATTTGATGAATCTCTGTTATACGCTCCAAATATGTTTCACACATCTGAATGTTGAACAAAATGCAAAAGTATGAATAATTGAAGGCCCCACACTATGACTATAGCCAGCGGCGTTCCTGGGATATTAAGACAGCAAGGGCCTGGTGGCCACATCAGTCTGATGGTTCTCCTACTCTGCCCCAACCCCTCTGAAGATACGATGGTCACTGCACTAAAAGGGGTTTGGGAAATGCAGCCCTGGGCCAGGACTGCTGTCACGTATGGAATTCTCAAACCGAGAGCATGGCCCTTAACCCAACCGAGCAAAACACATCATTCAGGGCTTGTTTGGATTCATTCAGGGCTTCAGGCAAAAGCCTGAAGCTTGTGATGCATCTGACTACAGCTGAAACACAACCTGATGGAGGACTGAAGCAGAACTGAAACAGAATCAAAATCAAATGGCCAGTCAGTCTAAAGACTTCTTTTCCATACTTGAATCAAATTACATTTGATTTTTTTTTCTCATAGAACATGAAGTTACATTTATATTCAATGTTCTAGATTCTTGTACACTATAACCTTCCTTTTCTGCTTTAAAATTTTTATGATCAAAATCCATTTATTTTTTCCTTTATCTGAACTATTTTACATCTAATTCAATTTACATTCAATCTATTCACCCCAAGGGCACGACTATCATAAGTAAGAGGTGTTTAAGGAGATTTTTGCTGTAGCACTAAAACTTTTATGAATGCC